ATTTGTTTTATGTAGTAGAATCTGACGTGACATGTTCGTACGAACCCTTTGTACGAACAAAAGTAAGAGAAATTTAGGATAAGAATACGAACATTTTCTTGCATGAGGCCCATTGTGGCCCAAATTTAGCTGCATAAACCCAAACATGGGTCAATTTATGTTCTGAACTCTAATTTCCCCTTGGGATCAATAAAGTATGATTCATTCATTCATTCATTCATTCATTCATTCATTCATTCATTCATTCATTCAATAGTTTTTAAATACTGAAAAAAAAATTTATGATAACTTTTGATATTGTGCATTTTATAGAGAAGATTCTATCAAATTGTAACTGCCTTTGTCTTTCTGTTTATCACATCTAGTTAAAAAAGTCTAGTTTTTTACATTTATTAGCTTTGCACTTTCTAACATTTGCTTCTAATTACAGTTCACACACTAAAAGAATGATTTTTTCACATATGCAAGCATATGTCTAAATACTGCACACATTTGCTCACTCATTAATACAGCGCATGGATCCCCCCAGTTGTGTATTTGTTTAGGAGACTGGTGGTTGGTTAATGGTCCAATTAGGAGCTGGCTGGAGATCGTTAAGAAGATGAATGTTTCTCTCACATCTTAGAGGGCTGAGTGAGACAGAGACACAAGAGAGGGAGCCTATTAAGACCCCTTCTCATGGTTCACACAGCCTCTTTCTAAAACCTTCACAGCACACCACAGTGAAGTGTGTTCTGTATATATGCTTTAAAAAGGGTAATTAACACTTTCAACAAATGATCTTGCTCTCTCTTTCCATCTCCCCCACTTGGCAGTTTGGTTGTGTACTCTTTCTTTCTCTTCCTCTATAGCTGTGTCAGAGTGGAACAAATTTGTTCTCCATGCTTCATTGTAGAGATTACCACAAATAACCTCAGAGAACTTTATAAATTGAAATTTCACCTAAATGTTGCTGTCCTTACCGTCTATGTATTAGATGAAAAATAAATGAGCTTGTACTACATTATGTTGTTTACTGTTTAGTCCTGGATTTTTTTAGATATAATCTTTTGTAGTTTTTGCCACACAGTCATTTGACATGTTCTTGATTTTACCAGGTACGCTCAATGTACTTCTAAGAGTGAGAAGCATTGCTCCTGTGGACTCGGTGGTGTGGACAAAGTCAGGTCATCAGGGCCCTGTTTGGAGGAAAGCTTCAGTTGACATCAGTCCCAGTGGACCCTTCCAGGTAAGGGTTTAATGCTTTTTTCGTTTAAATCATAAAACAAATGAGGGGTTGAAAAATTGTGTTTAACCTGGTCACTTAAAGTTGCCAACAAGTGCTAATAAAGATTTATTTTTCCAAAAGTACAACAGCCTGAACCTGATTGCTTGTTTGCATAACAGTAGTGTCTCTCCAACTGAGCTCTGCCTTCTCACACTAAACAGCTGAGATTTGTTGCATGAAATTCAGTACCTGACCTGCAGGTTCGACCTATTCATCTGTTAACGGACAAACATGCTGTGTGCTCTCTACTGTTAGTGTGAGTTTTGAAGAATTCAACCTCTTAAGGCAATTCAAGCTTCTGTGCTTGCTCCTTGATTTTTATCACGGGCCATCGCCAGCGCTTTGGCTATGGCTCGCCGCAGGTAAAAGAAGGGGGGGATCTCCCTTTTTACTTGTCATATCTCTCATCTTTTTGACATTTCTTCTACTGCAGCCACTTCTTCTCTACTTTGCTTTTCCCAGAAGGTAGTCATTCACTCCAGCATCAAATGAACAAGAGAGTTTTATACACCAGGTTTATGGAATCCGGGAAACTCCACAAAAAGTTGGTGGAGACTGAAAGTTGGCTTTGGATTTGATAAAATTTTCACAGTGGATTTTGTACTGTGACATTAAAAGCTGCAAAAACATAGAAAGTCATTGAATTTTAGATTCACTACCCTGAATTTACTCCAACAATAACTTCTACATGGATACATGGATTATAGACTGAGCACATTGCCAAAACCTTTTTATTTTCTTGATGGAAGTAAAATAACAACAAATACTGAGGAGGAAAAGAAAATGTTTGAGCTGCAACTTGGTGGCAAGATTAAAGAGAGAACTGATGCGTCCTGTTGGCAGGTTTGTTTCCTGTTAGCGCTGCCAGCTCCTGGGGTCACTGCATCTGGGTGAACTCATAATAAATACTGTAACAGTGTACCGAGACAACAGCGTTATATAATTTGAATTTATTAAGCTGCAAAAGTTTGATAAGAAAACATTCTTAAAGGCAGGGGCGCCCAAACATTTTCCTCAAGGGGGCCAAAATGAAAATGTATTGGGGGCTGCAGGCCAAACGCAGTAATATAATACATGAAATACAAATATTTTTTTAAGTAAAGTCCTTTATTTTTAACAATTAAGCTAGCAGCCAGTGTGGTGGCCCACTTTTGTTTTAGTTTGTGAACTTAGAGAAAGTCTGCCATAAGCTCAAGTAGAAAAAGCTCATGGGACATTTCATAAATTGATAAAATATGAGTTTTTATGGTCTCATAAAGTGCAAAAATCTACATGTGTGGTTAAATCTAATATAAATAAATCTTGTTACTTGTATTTTATGCTTCACGTTTAACCTTAATATATCAAAGATAAAGTCAAGACCATGAGTGAAAACTATCTGCACTACTGTCCTTTATTTAGTCACTTGGCCAATGGATGAAATGACTAAGTGGAAATACTGTTTCTACAAAGAACAACAGGTTACAGGTTAGTAACTACTCAACTGCTGGTGGGCCAAATCAAATGGCTTGGCGGGCCAAATTTGGCCCGCGGGCCCCACTTTGGGCTCCTCTGGTTAAAGGGATCCATGATTAGTTGTAACATTAGACTTTATTTGATAAACATATATTTTAACTGTAAAATAAAGACTGTAAAAATACTGTAGGCTGTTTAGTTTTTATCATTTTTAAATTAAAAGTTTCAAAATACATTACACGGACGGGGCCATTTTATTTACACACAAAGCATTCTGGGTAAATGATGACGTGGATAGGTCATCGGTGCGAGGCTGCTAGCGAGCTATATCCACCCTGAAGGTTAATCTTGGACAATATCTGATGATCGACTCTTTTAAATGAAACCAGAGAGCGTTGACAGAGAGAAGGTAGAAATGACTCAGCCTGKAACTGAAAATATGGATGGAGGACAACAGAGCTGCTTCATGGAAGAAGAACCTCAGMTTAGCCTGTTAGCTTTAGCGTTAGCCCCGATGCTATCACCATATACATGTGCGCTACACATTCTCCTCTCATCACTGAGGTCCTCCATCCACATGACAGAGAGGGGAAAGCAAAGATGACTTAGCTGCAACTGAAAATATGGATGGAGGACCTCAATTTAGCTTGTTTGTTGAGCTAGCGCCGAGCTAATACATATAAGGCAATGTAGCATCAGCGCAAAGGCTAACAGGCTAAGCTGAGGTTCTTCTTCCATGAAGCAGCTCTGTTGTCCTCCATCTATATTTTCAGTTACAGGCTGAGTCATTTCTACCTTCTCCTCTCTGTCAACGCTCTCTGGTTTCATTTAAAAGAGTCGATCATCAGATATTGTCCAAGATTAACCTTCAGGGTGGATATAGCTCACTAGCAGCCTCACACCAATGACCTATCCACGTCATCATTTACCCAGAATGCTTTGCGTGTAAATAAAATGGCTCCATCCATGTTAAACTATATTTTTGTAAAAAATACAAAACTAAACAGCCTACAGTCTTTTTGCAGTATTTATTTTAGAGTTAAAATAAATGTTTATCAAATAAAGTCTAATGTTACAACTAATCAGGGATCCCTTTAAAAACTGTGAAACATATTTTATGTCTCAATGACCTTCAAGATTTAACTCAAGGATTGGTGTGATTGTTTTTTTTTTTAATTTATTTATCAAATTAGTGGGACACACAATTTTGATTTGTTTAATGCTGATTGAAGTAAATAACTGAAGGCTTTTTTAGTAAACATTCACCATTTTTGTTGAAATAGAAGTGAAAAAAATGTTCTCAGCTGGATGTTTAGTTTTATTTTTCATTTTTAAGTTCAATAAAATTATATACTTTTCAAACTTTATTACAAAGACAAAGTCCACAAAACAAAACAGAACAGAGAAACAAGAAGTAAAAATACAAACTACAATTTTAAATATAGTTTAAATTGACTGGACAAATTCATTCAATAGTTGGGGAGGTGAAGCATGAAGAGCGGCCATATTTGAGCTCTGTCTGTTGACACATCATTGAGTCCCTTTGGCTGTTTGGCAGCTGTGCTTACTGTTAGCTCTTCCCTGTTGGCGTGTGGTGGAGTAAACTAGGTGACTCAGTATGGCTTTTTGACTGGTCATGATGTTTCTTCTCACAGTCTTTTTCTCAGCCTCTTATTTGTGTGTGCGGTTGTGTGTGTATGCACATGCATGTGTACTGCAGGAGAGTATAGAATTCTTAAAAAAACACAATGTTTCTCTTGTGGATGTTTCTGAATCCTTTTTATTTCTGTTTTCATTTTTCTCTCTTTATCTTTTTGTCTGGCCCTGCTCTGGGAAACAGGAAACAGCTGGGTCGATTATTGCTCTGGTTCGCTTCAAAATTTCCTGTCTCAAGGCTGATAACTAATGGTTCTAAAAAAAACAACAACAACACTAAGTTAAAGAGGACAGTTTGCTGTTCAATGCCTCTTACCCATGCCTAGTCAAATATTCCCTCTGTCTAACTGCTTTTTTTATATATATATGCAAATATAATTTAACACACAGGTTTTACAAACAGATTTGCAAATATACTGACAGACTCATAAATTTAACTGGTCAAATTTGTGAGTAAGGAATGCCTGCTTTCTACATTGTAATGATTACAGAAAGTTTATAATGTATGTGTGTGTGTATATATGCCATGATCCATGATAAATGTGGGTTTATGTGGCTTACACAAAGCTCTTGCAACACATTGTTCCTTTAATCATAAAAGGACAGACTGACAGACAGTCTGAAATGTATGCAGTGGTTTAAGGTGGGTTTTAAAACTTTAAATTGTTTGGTTTAGAGGTTATTATTGGAATTAAAAATGATGGATATGTGTATTATATTATAATAATGTTTATATAAAAATGCTAAAATACAACATTATCAATATATATTCAGGGCAAAAGTTGTGAAGCTATAGAAACGTTACCCAAATCCTGAAATGACTTTTTTCAAATGCAACTCAGCAAAACATTTATTATTTATAACATATAAGTTTTACAATATATTTATTGTGCAGAGTGTTAAGTGCAGATCCCAAAGGAGAGATGAGACAGCCTTCTGGCAAGTCATGGCACCTCTTTGTGTTCTGTTCTCACAGAAAATGCTGTACATGAAATTCAGATAAAAACTTCTGGTATAGTGAAAGCTGGTAATGGGTTAAAATTACATACTAGTACCACAAAAAGCAACACGATTTTCCACCACTGGCTTGGTTGCCACGGTTACAGTCCTGCCTCTCACATTGATGACAACACTGCAACTTAAGTGAAAAAGTATAAGATTAGACTCATCCCTCTCAATTATAAGCTTTCTCAAAATTGGCATTTCCCTAAAACCTATAAAATAAATCAAATAGCAGCAAAAGAACATCAAAACAAATCATGATATTTTGACTCAAATAGTTTTTGTCACATCACACAATTCTTCTGCCCTTGCTTGTAATTTATGGATGCTATTTTTGTATCCACTAAAGTTTAGAAACTTGTGAGCTTACCAAGGATATATGATTGTTTTTTTTTCAAAACTCTAATGATTTTGTCTTGTTAAACAAGTTTAAGTGGTGTTTAGAAGAAGTCTGAAAACAAGCATTCACCCAGCGGTGATAAATCCATCTATGCCTACTGCCGCTTGTCCCCTCCAGCCCTGATGTCTCATTCCCCTCTTCTGTCTGTCTGTCTCAGTATCTGGGGAATGTGAGTATCCTCAAAATCAATATCCGTGATTAAGCTGTCTGCTGTTGACAATGGGACCCGTCTGACACAACTGGTGTGAATGTACTCTTAAGTTAAGCTTCTTTTCAACAATTTTATAGTGTGAAAAATGGCTCTAATAGTTTTTTTTTTCTTTTCTGTTTTCTTTTTTTTATTTCTTGTTATTCCCTCGAAAGCTCTTGGCAGTGATGTATTTTTAGAAAATAAAACAAAAATTTGAAGGTATTTTGGCTCCTAAGATATTGTTAGGGACTGCTTAGT